TTCCCACCTGACTCCTCGCCGGTCTGTGTGGTATTTGGGAGGGAGGGCAGCACCCAGACTTCTATAGATCAGCAGGATGACGATGGCGAAGTGAGGCTCGGGAACGGTGCGTCTGGCTGCTGTGTATTCTCCCGTCTGATTGGCCAGGATGCTGACGGGGGCCGAGGCAGTGTTCTGATTGGTCGAGGCTGGAACAGAGAAGCCTGAGTGAGTACTGTTTCCTGGATTCAGCCTTTAGTTCTGTTTGTGACGCTGCTCTTACGTTCTTTCTCTGCTCGCTCCTTCTCCTTCCAGCTGTGCTGCTGCTGCTGCCGCTGTGGCACCAGGGCACCAGGGGGCACTATGATGTGGGTGTAGGGGTCCCACACGGCCTGGCTGCGGAACATGGAGGTGTGGTATCGAGGGAAACGCCGCCGCACATGGGTGTTGTTCTCCACGCGGTCCAGGTTCATGACTGAGGAGCAAAAAACACATGAAAACATATTCTGAGACACAACATGGACAGCAGATGTTTGTTGATGTGNAAAACAGAGATGCTGCGGTCAGGAAGGGTGAGGAGAGGAAGAGAAGGAGGTCAAAGGAGGAGGAAAAATATAGAAACAGCTGAGTGTAGGAGGAGGAGAGCTTCAAGTAAAAGACAAAGCATAAAACGCCCAATGTAAAGAGCTACAACTGTAAAAAACAAACTATTTTTGAAAGTTTTTTTAAATGTAATTTTTACAATAAATTGTTATGTTACAGATTTTCCCTGTTTTGGTCAAGCACAGACAATAAATGATAAAATCACTGAAATAAAGTATTAATTTATATGTAAACTCTAAACAGCAACCCAAAATTATAAATAATATCCACATGAACTTTCTCCTATAAAAGAAAGTTTTTCAGGACTAATAAAGTTTATTGTGATCTTATTTTATTTTATGTTGTCTTATGTTATCTTATCAAATTTGTTATAGTATTTTTATGAATAGCAATTCATTCTTTTACACTGTGTGACCATAAAATTATCCTGTTTTACTTTATTTAAATCACCTAAAAATTACAAATAATTGACAGATATTTTCCACTGTTCTCTGTGTTTTGGTAGTTTTTTTTTCCTTCTTTTTTTTTAACCTTTAAGAACTCTTTTTATTGAAACCATACGGGTTGGTCACAGTTTCTTTTCTTTCAGTCATGTACTTTAGAAACTGAAAAAGATTTTTATAAATTCTATATGTATATATGTGAAAATAGATAAATTACTAAATGATAATATTAAAAATTAAATATAAGAAATTAATATTACTAATAGTAGAACTAGTAGTATGAGGAATAATAACATTATTATTCTTTTTCTTATTATTATTATGGAATTTAAAAAGGGATTCAAATATTTAGACAGTTTTGGAATTTTACAGTTACTGTTTTTTGTTTTGTTTTTTTTAAACATATTTTCCTTCTAGCCACTCTTGCTGCCATATTTTCAAATTTCAGGATTTTTTTTTATAGTGTTGGCAGAAAGGAGTGTTACAGAGGGCGAGAAGAGGAGGAAAAAGCAAAATACAGGGATGTAAGAAGAGCTGTGTACAACAACACTGTAGAAGAATGAATATTTTACAACACTGCTCTGGAATATCTCTTGTATAACCGTTATTGCTGCACTAGAGCAGGAGACTGTGTAGTATGGGTACGTTTTCTACCATCAGCCACCATCTGGAGACGAGTGCATCTCCAAATCTGCAAAATATGGCTAAAAATGAGCCCCAAATATAACACTGATGGAAGGAAAATGCTGTATTTATTTACCTGTTGTTCAGTCTGATTGACCCCGAGCAGAAACACCAGCTCTGACAGGAACATGGCTGCCGCTGTGTTGGAATGGATGCTCCTGGTGTTGGACTTGAGGCCTCGGAGGCAGGAGAGGACGAAGACGGTGAGGAGGAGGGCGAGCATGGAGACGCACAGGGAGGAATACGTAACCAGGGCCAGGGTCTCCAGATCCCCCTCCAACTGCTGCTCATCGGGAGAGAGAGGGAAAAAAAAATAGTGTTATTAGATTTAGATCATTTTTGACGGAAGCAGATGAGAAAGGAGAGGAGGGACGAGGAAACGATGGGGAACGAGCAGAGAAAGAAAATGTGCAGACACGGGATTGATAGATGAAGATTGAGCCGAAAAAAAAAAAGAAATATCACAAGGTGAAATAAGATGAAGTCATTTTAAAATGCTGAAAAGCTTCAGTCTGGGGCACCGGCTGCCCTCCAGAGATGGTACAATTCTTGGAAAGCACCTGAAGACAACAAAGCTGCACCAGCCAGCAAGTTGTTCCATTTAAAACAACATTGATACCCACAATGTCTTTATTATAGGCGATAAGTCTCAGGGTATTAAAGAGATTTTTAAAAAGCAGACAGGAAACAAATAAAAGCCTCAAACGATAGATCAGGCATCTGTCGGGATCGATTCATCGCGTCTCTCAAATAAAAGGAAATCAAACGCTCCTCTTCTGGAAACACCAGGTTTATGACAACCAAGATAATTTCCCGTAGTTTGGAGAAGACGTCATCATAAGACACGAGGCGTCTTGTCTGGAGATGATCAAACTTAGTATTCTGGGCAGCGCCGGCCAGGAGGAGGAGGAGGAGGGTTTGCATTAAGCTGTGAAAATCTGCTACAGCTGTAACAAGGCTTCCTCCAGCTCTGCCCATGTCAGTCAGGATTTCTGTCTGTGGGATTTCACACTTGTACGCTAAACCAGATCCAGTAATTACCAGCTGAGATGTTGGGATGAAAACAAAAAGGGTTGGCTGATGGGAGATCTATTAGATGCATCGGTTTGATAGAAGGAACGATGAATAAGTTAAAGCAGCGATTTGATGTGATTAGAGGACGCTAACCTCTCGCTGCGAACTGTCCATCAGCACGCCGAAGGTTCCTAATCTCTGGCACTGACAGCGGACGTGAGACGTGTTCCTGTAGACCACCATGCAGTCTCTGACGGTCCAGCAGCCTCCCAGCTCGTATCTGAAGGGAGAGAGGAGGAAAAAAATGACAGGATGGGTTTAAAAGATGACTTATGTGCAGTCGCCAGCATGTATGGAGCAACATGGTATGAGCACGTTCAGACTGTGTGTGTTTAAAATCAACAGTAACAGGTTCAGGTTGTTTAAAGTGAAAATGTCTCTTAGTGGAACGTCAATGAGAAGACTCCTAATTTACAGCAAGGAAATGAAACATCATGAGAAAATGATTTAAAGTAAAAGCAACCATCACAGAGGTTTATATTATGGAAAAGTTCATTTTTTCCCTAAGAGTGAAAAGAGAAAAGTTTCATCAGATCTGGACTGAACAGACTGTAAAACCCAAAAGATCTGATTTCAGTTGAACCTGTAACGAGATACAACCAGCTCTCTTTATCTACTTTTCTTTTTAGAGTTTTTTATTGAATGATGGGACGTTTTGGGGCTTTTATTTTATTTAATTTTAATTTTATTTTTTTAATGCAATATAAAAAAAATAAAACAAACAAGCAAACAAAAAAAACTATAATAATAGTTGTTAAGTTAATTAATTCGAGAAGCGGTTAAAAATAATAGTACGATTAATCAGAAAAATGCTGAAGGTCCAATTTTACTTGAACCCACCTGTAACTACAACTGTCTCTCTTCATGTACTTTTCTTTCTATTCTTTTTTTTATTGAGTGATGTGAAGATAATTACAAACAGTTCCCTGTTCTGCTGCTATCATGGAGTGAGAGGAGTGAGAGTGCCGAATTACAAAAATTAATCCATAAAAGAATAATTTTTATTTATTTGTCTTTATATTTCTACTTTTATTAGCCTTTTCTTTATAGATTCATTTTTGATTAATATTGCGTTACATTGCCATTAATTTTTATTTATTCTTCTTTTTATTTCCATGTTTATTTTATTATTCTTTTATTGATTTATTTTGTAATGTGGCACTCTCACTACTCCATAACTAACAAGAGAGTGATGTAATAAATAATTTAAACAAAACAAAACAAACAAACAAAAAAAAACGCAATAATGTCTTTAATACTGCAATATGCTTTGGAATTGTAATAACTTGCTGTTTCAATTCAAATAAAAATTAATATTCTTTAAAATCTCTCAGATATTAGGACTCTATGATGTTTAAGCTGATTATTAATAATCTAGGACACAGATAATTGATGGAACTGATTTACATTTGCAGAGAAAATTCAAATTATGCAGAAAACTTTGCTCAAATGCCGTTTGTTTATGTATCTTTGTTTATGTATCTTTGCTTATGTATCTTTGTTTATTTATCTTTGTTTATGTATCTTTGTTTATTTATCTTTGTTTATGTATCTTTGTTTATTTATCTTTGTTTATGTATCTTTGTTTTCATGGCTAATTAAAAGCTAACTGCTGATTGGCTGATACTCGTGACATTCAACCAATCAGACAGAGAAAAGTGGCCAAAGTGCTGGATTTATTTTATAAATAACAACATAAATAATCAGAAAAATGCTGAATATCGGGCGAGATAATTGGCCGGGCGGTTAATTGGTCGACCTCTACACATACCAGCAGACAGGAGACATTACAGAGTGAACGCAATTAACAGCAATACATAATTAAACATGCACATAATTACATGTAATATATAATTGAAAGTGCAAAAAATAAAAAAAAATAAAATAAAAATAAACCTGAATCAGTTTGTGGTTTCGTCTTTGCAGCACAACGTCAGTAACCTTTGCTCATTTAAAGGCTACTGACTGAAATGTGATCTCATCCGATCATTTAAAAACAGATTGAATTGGCAGGTGTGGCTTCTCTGCGTGTTTAATATACACCAGACGACATTCAGCAGCCATAAGAGCAAACGCACACGTGTAATTAATTCATTTAGTAATAAGTGGAGGTGGCTGAGCTTCAGACCCTGTTAATGAGCAGGAAGCATGACTGCAGCAGACACTTCACCAGCTCCGTTACTGTTGTTAGCTACGATTCTGACAGGTCTGCAGAGAGAGAGATGGTGCATTATGATAACCATGGCTGCCTCAGCGACAGAAGGCATGAACGGAGATATTTATTATATTTAATAACCCTCAGATTGTTCCCAACGCAACAAACAGCAGCGTGAGTATTTCTAAGTAATATATAGTTGTATAGCAAAGCAGAAAAATCAACAACATCCAGAGCTGGTGTAGATTGTAAGGTTTAGGAATCACAGACTCTCGATGCTAACATGATAAACTGCAAGACATTCATCTGCAGTTACAACATCTGTGCAAGTGAAGAGGAACAATTTGGCCTAAAAACGCCTAAAAAGCAGCAATTAGGTAATTATTCATGGCACTGTGGTGTCAGTGTGAGAGTGTATTACCGTTATTATTCTATTTAAATAAGGTTTCAATTGAATAAATTAGCTCTGATTTGCTTTTCTCTGCTTTGTGCCGTTCTCCACCTGCAAGTTTCTTCTTCTTCTTTGCAGGTTAGTTAACTTGGTAAATGGTAAATGGTCTGCACTTATATGTACAATGTGTTCCTCATTCACCCGTTCACACACATTCATACGCCAATGGTGACGGAGCTCCCATGCATGGTGCTGCCTGCCACTGGGAGCAACTTCGGGTTCAGTGTCTTGCCCAAAGACACTTTAACTGTGGAGGGGTGGGGGATAGAACCGCCAGCCTTGCGATTGGAGGACAACTCGTTCCACCAACTGTTAATTTCAGCCTCATTCATCTGATGAGCACCAACGTGAAGAGTCATGATGCAGTGGTTCAGAGTGTCGGCATGTTTTAATAAGGATATAAATATCTGGTGCCAATGCATCAATAATGTATCACAAAAGGAAGTCATGTGATCTACTGTCATATCAATGTTTTGTCCCAGCAGTAATATACCGTATGTCTGTCTGTGTGCATCATCAGCCTGTGAAGAGTTTACGTGTCTGAAAGGCATCTTATCTTTTAAAAAGTTGCTAAAACAGCAACATTCATCAGCCT